CAGGTACTTGATGCTAATATCCAGTATGCACTAATAGTCCAGGGGTATGGTGGTGATGCTAATGATTCCTTCAGTGGCCATAGTTTAATGAAGTTTTCAACTAAAGACAGAGATAATGACATACATCCAGATCCAGCTTATAGTTGTGCTGCATATCATCAAAGTGGTTGGTGGTATCATGGATGCTACAATTCTAATCTCAATGCTCCATATTATAATAACCCAACATGTCCTGATTGGCATGGAATAATTTGGTATCTCTGGAAAGGAAAGAAATATTCTCTCAAATTTACTGAAATGAAAGTTCGTCACAATTAACACAAGGAATAATAAGAATTTGCAATTAACAGTGTGTGTGTGTGTGCAGTGATTATTATTATCAGTGCAGTGTTACTTAGTGTAGTATTGGTTGTTAGATCTATCATTGGTAAAATGATACACTTAATTTTGGAAGATATATATTTTAAAAATGCTCCTTACAATGGCCAAAGTCCGAACCAAAGTCCCTGTACTATACAAGGCCTTAAGTTCAATTTTGGAGCAACTGTAAAGATTAGTCTAAAATACAAACTTAATCAGAATAAGCTCAAACTTTCTACACAACATAAGTACATGCATAGATATGCAATAAAAATCAACAATCCATGATGACTCTTTGGCATGTAACTCAATGATCATTCATCACAGAATGCTCAGGCATAATAAACATACCAGGTACACTTATAAACTTCAGTTCCAATCCTTGCAACATGTTTTACAACACACTATAGTATACTGCTGCCCATAGCAGGCCTCCTCTACATGAAATGACTATATATGGGAAGGTCTGGGCAGTAAAGCCATTAATTTTGCAACACAATGTATAGTAATTTTGGTAATTACATTTTTCAGATGCTCTCATACTAAAAACTGAGATATGTGTAAACATTATGTGAATTTCGTTTGGAGAAGTAAACCCTGTTTAGCTGACAGCATGTGCATATGCATGAACTGTTGAAATGTAGATCTAACTGAGAATGTTCTTGATAAACAAACACACCAGGTACTTTAATAAACCATCCTACAATCCTTTAGCATCTTATATGACACGTGTACACTGTAACTATAGCACTATATAAGTAAGAGCTATAGGTGAGCACTGACAGTTAACAAGAATCAATTATCATTTCATTATGAAGTATCCAGTTCCTCTACTGATACTACTAGTCACTATTGTTCACAGCAGTTCTGCTAAATGTATTGAGGATGAACTTCCAATAACATTCAGTAATTCAACTGTTAATGCTCCATTATGTGAGATATAACTAGTCGAACTATGTCAATTTGTTAGTAAAATCATTATTATTCTTTAGATTGTCCAATAGCTCGTGATTGCAAGGCATGGCTGGCAGCAGGTGTCAATAAAAGTGGAATATATCCTGTCAAACCAGACAATGGAACCGGTTTTCAAGTAAAAACATTAGCAACTGAATTGAAACTTTCACATCATATTATTAGCTCATGCACCATGCATAGTGTTAAAATTAATGCTCTTCTTTTTCATCAGGTATACTGTGATATGGAGACTGATGGTGGTGGATGGACTGTATTTCAGAGGAGAGTTGATGATAGTGTTGATTTCAATCGTAACTGGGCTGACTATGAAGAAGGGTTTGGGGATTTGAAGGGAAACTATTGGCTGGGACTGGCTAACATACACAGACTCACTCCAACTGATGATAGTTCACTTAGAATAGAACTGGGAGACTTTGAAGGGAACAAACGATTTGCTAAATACACTCAATTCCAGGTACTTGATGCTAATATCCAGTATGCACTAATAGTCCAGGGGTATGGTGGTGATGCTAATGATTCCTTCAGTGGCCATAGTTTAATGAAGTTTTCAACTAAAGACAGAGATAATGACATACATCCAGATCCAGCTTATAGTTGTGCTGCATATCATCAAAGTGGTTGGTGGTATCATGGATGCTACAATTCTAATCTCAATGCTCCATATTATAATAACCCAACATGTCC